CATTTGTCAGTTCATGCTGTGTCGATCCCCCCCCCCCCCCCCCCCCCCCGGGCTGCTTCAGGCCTTCTCTTCAGGAAGTCCTTGCCTACACCTGTATCTTGAAATGTTTTCTCTCCTGGGTTTAGAATTTCTAGACTTACATTAAGGTCTTTCATCCATTTTGAATTTATTTTTGTTCAGGATGAGAAGTGTGTATCTATTTTCATTCTTCTATATGTGTATGTCCAATTTTCCTATCACTGTATGTTGAAGAGGTTGTCTTTCCTCCAACGTATATTTTTGGCATCTTTATAAAAAAAAAAATACAGCTTTCAATGTGTGGGTTTAGTTCTGGGCTTCTATTCTACTAGTCCATTGCCCTGTGTCTTTGTTGCGATAGGATACTGTTTTTGTTACTATTGTTTTATAGGGTAATTAAAAATTCAAAATACCTTCAATATGATTGTTTTTGCTCAGGATTGGTTTGGCTGTCTGTAGTCTGTGCCTCCATATGAATTTTAGGATTTTTTTTTCTAGTTCTATAAAAAGGGTTACTGGAATTTTGATGATTATGTTAAATAAGGCCATTTTTGGTAATACAGCCATTTTTTGCAATGTCAATTTTACTATCTCATGAGCATGAAACCTTTTTTTCAGTTTGAAGTAGTTTCAGTTTCTTTCTTCAGTGTTGTTAAATTATCATTGAAATATTTATTTACTTTCTGTTAGGTTTTATTCAATTTTTTTTTAATCATTGTGAATTGTGGTTTCCTGATTTTTCTCATCATCATTTTCTTTCATATATTAAAAAGCTGCTAATTTTCACATGTTAATTTTGTATCCTGTTACTTTGTTGAAAGTGTTTGTCAGTTCTAAGAGGGTTGTAGTGGAGTCATTAGATCTCTTAGGTATAGGATCATCTTGTCTATAAACAGGGATAATTTGACTTCTTTTGTTCCTGTTTGTATATCTTATTTCTCTCATCATATTTCTCTAACCTAGATGTCAAGGATATGTTAAATAGGAGGGGAGAAAAGTCTCACACTTGATTTTAGTGGAAATGCTTTTTTTCTTTGTTTAATTGTAGCATTGTTTGTTTGTTGTATATGGCCTTTATCATTGGATTCTGTTAAATGCCTTTTCTGCATTGAGATGATCATGTTGTTCATACCTTTAACACTATTAATAGGTTATATTTATTGATTTGCAAATGCTGAAATATCTTTTTATCCTTATAATGAACCCCATTTTGAGCTATCATGGGGTGCTGTGTTGACCACTTCTGGACCACAGACTCTGTGTGCTGACCCTGAGGAAACTTCCAGAAAATTTGCCAGAATTCTGCTGTTTTTTTGTTAATCATAGCTGATTCTTCAGTCCCAGCCGACTAGAACCACAATTTATTAGTATGAAAGAGTACATGAACAACCCTGATAAACTCTAAAACTCCACAAGTCATCTGCACTGTTTTCAGAACTATCATCTAAGTTCCCTCAGTGGCTCATTGAGTTCTGAACATTCTAGACCAGAATTCCAAAATCTTCCACAATTCTCATCAAAATGTTATCAGGTTGTCAGCAATATTCCACAAAACTGGTACCAATGTCTGCCTTAGTCAGGTTTCTATTGCTGTGATAATATCATGACCAAACAACTTGAAGAAGAGTTTATTTAGTTTATAGCTTTAATGCACCATGATGGGAAATTAGGGCAGAATCTCAAGGCAGGAGCCCAAAAGCAAGAACTGCTGAGACAGTGGCCATGGAGGAGTGCTGCTTATTGACTTACTGCTCATGGCTTTCTCAGCCTACTTCCTTTTATAATTCTGGGCTACCTGCCCAGGGGTGGAACCACCTACAGTGAGCTGGGTCCTCCCATATCAGTTATTAATCAAGAAAATGCTCCACAGACTGGCGAATCTTGTGGAGGCATTTTTCTCTGTTATATTCTGTCTTCTCAGATGTCCAGATTTGTACATAGTAGAAAAAATCCAACTAGTACATCTCTTTTGTCAGATTTTAGTAAAATTGGATCTGTTTACTTTCTGATTCCTTTTCCTTAGAGTGTCCTTTTCCATTCTTTCACCTTACATCTGTTTTTTGGTTTTTGCTAGTAAGGTGTGTTTCTTACAGGCAGCAGAGAGCTGATATTAAATACAACGGAGAACTGGTAATACTAGCATTCAGAGGTATTGTTGAAAGATGTGTGTTGTTCCTGTTACTTGTTGTTTTTGCAGTGTTTGATGCTCTACTGTTCCAATATAGTTTTTTCTTTCAGTGGCCTTATAGATATGTTTATCTTCTTTTTAATTAAAACAAATGTTTGCTTCCATGCTTTTAAAATAATTTAGTAATTTAAAAATATGAATATTTTACGTGTGTAAGTATTTTGCTATGTGTCCATATATGTACCACATGTATACCTGGTGCCCACGGTGCCAGAAGAAGACATTGAATCACATGGAACTGAAGTTAGAGATGGTTATGAGCTGCCACATGGGTGCTGAGAACCAAACCTGGGTCCTGCTGAACCATTCCCCAACCCCAATTAAAAAATTTTGAATAATGTATTGTGAGATAGTTCTGCTAAAGACTATTTCCAAAGTAAAGCTATTTCTAAGAAAGTTAAGGAAACATTTATCCACATTTAAAGTTATTAATATCCTCCATTCTTATCTGAGTTTGAAAAACATTGTATATATAGTTGTTTTAGCGCAAGTTCTGTTTAAATGTAAATCCCTACTTTAAAATTTTTGCATATTATAATGTATAGCTTTTTGAGTGAACGTTGGAGCTCCATTAAATGCTTATTCCCAGTGGTCAGGATTCTGAGTTTAAACTTTTGCATTGTGCAATGACTTTCATTTTTTTAGTTAATTTCTTGGATTTTGATGGGATAAATATGATCATCAGTTGTTGGCAAGCTTTGTTCTTAAAATTGCAATTGACTAGAAGCTTTGTTCTTTAAATACATAGATTAAAGATTTTGTTTGTATTTTGAGCAAAATACAAATTGTAGGTGATCCATTATCAAAACAATTTAAAGTAATTCTAGGACCTTAAATTGATTACTATTTAACCATCAGACATTTTTAATGTCTTGTGCGGATGTTTAGCTTAGCAGAGAGAGAAGTCATGTTTTTAAATGTTTATTTGTATTCACTGCATGTTTTTGTTACTTATGTTCTTTGGTTATATATGAAAGCATTTTAATGCCTTCCTTGACCAGCTGAAAAAGCATAACATTTGTAGGAAAAATTTTAATGGTATTAGTTTGGGGAAACTCATCTTTTTGTTTTTTGTGAAGTTGGGTTACTCTTCAGTAATTTTATTCTTTGGAGTTAGAATATATATGGGTGAAAATTAATATTTTAGAATGCTGTCTATGAAATAAAAGTTAAAAAACCTTGTTTAGAATTTAGTCCTTTGAAAAGTGTCTGAATATACTTTGAGTATTGTTTCCCTTTTGTTGCTTTTAGCTGGTAAGTTTTTACATGGTGAACTGTGGACTTGGCTAGGTTCTATAGCTGTGTCTATAGCTGACAACAGAATAATTCATTAGTTAATTGAAAGCTAATTGATCTCTAAATGTTATGCTTTATTCCTAAAATGTATCTGTATTCCTTAGATTTTCTTTTGTCCTTCAATCACACTAAAATCAAATCCCTGGAAATTTACCATGGTTCTACAGCATTCTTGCATGGCTTGGGTGATAGCTAACTCTCTAATTACATCCTGTAGCATTGAGTTTCTACACTCTAGCTACAATGAGCCCCCTTCACTTCTTTCCAGACCATTCATTGGGAATTTTCTTTCTTGGAGGTCTGTTCATCGTAGGCTCCTCTGTGATTAGGACACACCTGGAATTTCATCACATCATAAGCACTTTGTCTGATCATAATATAGAAAGAACCTTTCTTCTGATGTGTTTCCTAGTCTTAGTATTCAGTATTCTGTTTCTCAACTATTTCTTCATAGTACCTTTTCCTATTTCAATGGCCTTATTTATTACAAGAGCAGATATATTATATGTCATATTTATAAATGTCTGTCTTGCATAGCTAGCTAGTTTTTGTTAAATATGGAAATAAATGTCTTACATAGTTACTGTGTACACATTCCCTTTTTGATTCTCACTTCTAGCTATAAAAGAAAAATCTGATAGTGGTATTTGCCTCTGATAATTTTAATGAAAAAATAGTTTTGAATAATGAAGGAACTGTAAAAGGTAGTGCTATGCCAGGCGTTGGTGGCACACACCTTTAATAATGGGACTCGGGAGGCAGAGGCAGGTGGATTTCTGTGAGTTCAAGACCAGCCTGGTCTACAAGAGCTAGTTCCAGGACAACCTTCAAAGCCACAGAGAAACCCTGTCTAAAAAAAAAAAAAAAAAAAGAGAGAGAGAGAGAAAAGGTAGTGCTATGTATGTATGTATGTATGTATGTCATAATAGAGATTTTTGTGTGTTCTTAATCTAGATCATTAGAGTTTAGCATATTAAATTGACAGCATTTAAAGATCAGATTAATATACAAGTATATAAGAGAACAATTGATTACATGGAATTCTCTACAGCTATTAAACCCCCACGAGGAAGCTGTTATTTGTGAACTGTTATGGGAAGACCAATAAGGAGCAATACAAGACTGCAGTGCCCAGTCAGAGCAGTCAGTGCGTTTTGCTTATGCTTTGCTTATAAAAGGTAGAAAAATTTTAAAAATGGATTCCTTATGTATTTATAAAAATTCTGAGTGTGTAAGAAGCTGGTGAAAAATGATTATAGAACCAGGTGATGTAAAGGAAATGAAAATAGTTAAAATATATTTGATGCATATTTTTTATGTTGTCTTGATTTTTAAAACCTGGCTGTATTATTGATTCAAAATTTTTAATAAACAAAATTAAGACAGAAACTATTATGTTGATATAATAATTTTTAAGAACTATTTAAGATGCATGTGTTCATTTAAAAAAGTTTTGCTCTTTCCCCAATCCTGTCTCTTTTTATCCCCTTTCACTCAGTGGAGTAGGTCGGAACTGGGGCTGGGCATCTGCAGGTAGCAGCATTCTGGCTGAATTTGGCACATTGCATATGGAGTTTGTCCACCTCAGCTACCTGACTGGTGATTTGATTTACTACAAAAAGGTTAGTTATAAAAGACTCTTATAATACATTACCCAAAACATCTTAATACTTAACATGTTTTTCAGGACTTTGGTTTTTGTTGTTTTCTTTCTCTTTCAGTTTTTTAAAAATTCCTTTCTACTTCTAATACATTTAATGTATTTATTGAGAAGTTATAACCACTATTTATTTTGTTAAGAAATTTTATTCCCATTTCTACTCATGGTTCTGAACTCCCTGGCCTACATGCTAAGACAAGAAAACAAAATTTAAAAAGCTTAATAATTGCAAAGAAAGAGAAAATACTGCTTATTCATAGAGTATATGATTATTCTACTGGATATTTTAAGACAGTCTTGTGGATTGATTTGTTTTGTTTTGTTTTTTTTTTTTTTGAAAGGAGGGTTTTCTTTTTTCATTTCCTTTTTGGTGAAGTAGATCAATCTTTGCCCAGGGTCTTGCACATGCTGACTGCTGCTGGCTCTACTACTGAGCTATACCTAGGTGTTAGGACTCTGGCTATTTACATGTAAATGACTACTGTGAATGCAAAACTCAATACAATGGCTCTCACCTCAAAAGGTGTAAGAGGTATGTTTATTCTAGAGCTAAATATGAACAGCCTTAGCCCCCCTCCCCCAACACAGATTCTGGTTATTGCTGTTTCAACAGTTTCATGAAATTTTTATAGTAACAGAGCACAATAAAATCATAAGTGAAGACCCCTGTTAAAATACATTAGTGGGAACATCAGATATATGAGTTACAGCAAAGTAGGGAGAGTTCTTTCTTAGATGTTACTTGATAGCGCTTTTAGCCTTTGGGCTGGTAGAAGCCAGGAGTCTGTCAGGACATTTCAAGAGGACCTAATAATCACAAGGATGTTAGGTTACACACAGAGGTGAATAAGGAATGGCTATTAAGAGGGCTAAATATACTCTAAGATAGTTTTGTTCTGAACCCAAAACATTCCAATACTCTATAATTATGGTGTTTTAACCAGTTAATTGTCCTTATAGACTCTTTAACATGGACAAGACTATTTGTTTTTCTTCTTAAGTTCAGTAGAAACAAATATTTAATGGGGGGGTCTATACAATATTAGTGTAGATTTAAAATCCTTAGCATCTGTCTATCAGCTGCAAAGGGTAAGAATATGTCATTTTATAAAGATGTCTTATGTGGTAGGAACAAAACTTGTGTTTAGCACAAATTTAAAATCTGTGGAGGTAAGTTCATAGTGAGAATAGGGTCACAGGTAGATGAGTACTTTTCAGACTAGAAGGAAGTACGGTGCTAAGAAGCTAGGAAAGGATGCTCATAACAGTCACACAGTGCCAGCTTCAGTGAAGGAAGAAGTGACAGTGTCTCTGTGAAATGCAGTGTTAGCCTCCAATATCAGTTGGTCAGGGAAAAGCAAAGGCTAGAAATCACACTACATTTGTGTTCATCCTTAGTCTTTTATGTCAAAACTTTCTTGTGAATAGTTGAGTAAGGAAAACAGATGGGAGTCAGTGTGGTAAGGCAAATGAATGTGTTTACACCAGTGTGGACTCCATTTGCTGAGTTTAAGAGTCTCCCCTCCCCCCAAAAGGGAGGGAGTTGATGAGTGATGATGAATAATTCATCTAAAAGGTGTAAGTACAGAATTTGTAAAGATTTATCAGAAAAAAGGAAAGGGTCATGGAATGTGACAAACACCAGGAAAAAAATAAAAATAAAAATCCTGACCAAATATCACTGTAAGAAAAGCATGTATTCCCTCATGCCCCAATTTTTGTAGAATAAGAATATAAACTGAGATGAAATGCTAATAGAATAAGATGTGATATCAGTACCAGAGTGGAAGAAAACATTACCACAAAAGAGAAGGCCAAAGTGGAAGCAACATGGGGAAACATGGGGCTTGAACTGTGGAAGGAATGACTTAGAAGGCAGAGCTGAGAAATGCTGTTAAAGGAAATAAAAACAATGAGAATGAATAATGTACTGAGAAACACAGAATCAAGTATTAGACATAATTTTAGATGTCAAAAAGCCAAGTTTTTCATCTTTCCCAATGTCATTTAAAAGTGTCTAAAAGTACTGTGTTGACTTATTCACATTGTACTTATTCATGATGGCGGCCTTGCATATGAAAGAATCTAGAAATGTAGGTAGCATTTTTGACCTTCTTGGTGCCAGGCCAAAACCCAGCTAAAGAGATGATGATGAGAATCATTGTGGTAAAACTATTGATGTGCTCAAGTTCACAAGCTAAAGTATGCATGCCTATGAAACAGAATGTATTCTACATCATCAATCATGTAAGGCAGTGTGGGTACATTACCTACTCAAAGTCTTTAAAAAAAAAAAAAACAAAACCCAAGAATACAAGAAATAGAATACCCGCACTGCCGCACTGAAAGCACTTATCAGATCTGACCAGCCTCTGACAGGTGGAGGGCAGTCTTTGGAGAAATCATCAGGCTCCAAATGTATTTTGTGATTCTTTTTTCTCCCTTAACCTCAGGGAGATCTCTAAGAATTTAGGGAAATATTTATTGGGAGGGTATTTAAATCCCAGCAGTAATAAATACTTCATCATTTATTAAACTCAAATTCTTTTCATAGAAAGTTTTGATTCCATTTCTATGAAGTTATTTTATTCTTCTATTTTTATATATACAGGGATATATCTGGAATATCTGGCTGATGTTTCTGATGGTCAAGTCTGTATAATAGACTGTGAGAATTTAAAATATTTTTGGAGCTTTTTGCTTTTGCTATTTTTATTATTGTTTGATAAAATTAACAAATCATTTAAGAAACAGAAGCCCTCCTGCTGACCACCACACATGACAAGGGAGAAGGTGGGTGTACATTCCCAGTGATGGAAGAACCACAAAGCATAGGCTAGTAGAAAGCTGTGATGACATCTGTTTCTCTTCATTACATTCTTATTTTCATTTTGATTAGGTCATGCACATTCGGAAACTACTCCAGAAAATGGAACGCCCAAATGGTCTTTATCCAAATTATTTAAATCCAAGAACAGGGCGCTGGGGTCAGTGTAAGTATTTCTAATGCAGTTGCTCACTTGCTAAAAAAGATTGCTTGAAAAGTCTTTGCTTGATGTGTGGTGTACCATGTGGAGTTAAAACCCCCGGTCTAGGCCTGACCTTACCAGTTGTCTGCTAATGCTGCTCTGTCCATTAGGGTCTGATCTTTTGAAGCTGCTTAAGGTGAGTTTTTACTTGTAAAATGGAAGCATTGGTAAGGTGCCTCACAAGAATATTTTCTTTCATGTACCTGTAAGTACTTTGCTGAAATATATTATGAAGGATAATATATAGTAATTAATCATATCTTATAAATAAGAGCACTTCTTGAGATAGCTTTTTATGAATACTTCAGATTAAATGTAACTATATAAATTATTAGAAAAGGGGACAGTTGCCATTGGACAATGTCTAGTCATTTATTTAAGAAAAAGGTATCATGCATCTGTTATTTACTAGGCTTTTGTATGAGACTAAAGATATTAAAAAAATTTGTGTTCATCTGATTTAGGGGGTTACCTAGCAGCAAAGGTAGATGATCATAGTTGTGGTGATATATTGGTTATGATTTAATAAAGCTTGCCTGGGGATCAGAATATAAAGCCAGACATACTAGTTAGCTATAGAAGCTGGGCAGTGGTGGCACACACCTTTAATCCCAGAATTCAGGAGACAGAGGCAGATGGATCTCTGTGAGTTCAAGACCACCCTGGGCTACATCAGAGTGAATCAGCCTAAAAGAGCCCATGCCTTTAATTCCAGCACTAGAGTGTATATGAGGAGCTCTGTGTTGTCTCAGAGAGCAGTCTAGGAGTTTGAGGTTTGGTGAGGAGCAGTGCAGTCTGGATTGTAGTCTGAGGATTTGTGGAAACAGGATAACCACAAATTACCTCAGATCTGAGGTAGAGGTAAGAGCTAGTGGCTGGCTGCTCTGCTTTTCTGATCTTCAGCTCGAACCCCAATTTCTGTCTTTGAGTTTTTATTATTTGTGCTACACAATGTAATAAAGAAGTTTACAAGTCAATATGAAACTTGTAGAAATGCTGTGTCTTGCTGGGCATTGGTGGCTCATGCCTTTAATCCCAGCACTCTGTGAGTTTGAGGCCAGCCTGCTCTACCAATCGAGTTCCAGGACAACCTCCAAAGTCACAGAGAAACCCTTTCTCTAAAAAGGAAAAAAAAGGGGGGGGGGAGAAAGAAAGAAATGCTATGCCTTGCGGAAAAATGTTTTGTTTGCAGAGGTTAATAGTGTCAGTGCTTTAGAATTCCTCTTTGAAGGTTTTGAGTCTCAAACAGTAAATGTTCATGTGGAAATGTTGAATTTATAATTTTAGTAATTAAGGTTTTTATAAATGGTATTCTCTTTTTAAAAGTAAAGAAACTTAAATAAGTGCAAGTAACAACTTTGCCCCAATAGGTCACTTTTGGGTTATTTTTGAAATTAACAATAGTGTAATGAAGTAGCAAATGAGAGATGGAGGTAACAATCATTTAATTTTAAGTATTGGAAGCACTACCAGCTCTGCCAGTGAAAACCAGTGAGTCTGAATACTGGGAGCTGAAAGATGTTTTCCAGGGATTGCCTTGCAAGCTTCTTGTCAGGACATTGCTTTAGATCCCAGTCCTGTATTTTCCCCTCTCCACTAGGTCTTTATATGAAGTTCACTTTCCTCTTTACTTAAGAAAATGTTAGAGCTAATGCTTATATTGAATGGATATAGTTTTGAAAAAGCAAATGTTGAGAGCTGCGTTTGTAAAACAAAATGTAGTTTTCTTATGCTAGATATGAGTGACTGAATTGCATACCTACTTAGTAATTTTGATGAATCAGGTTGTAGAATTTACTCCCTTAAAGTGTTAATTAAGATTTGGAATTTCTAATATTGTGGGAAAATTGGGCCCAGTTTCTACAATATCTTATGACATTATATATTTTATATGGTATAACTATTTCAGTGTTTACAATGAAAAACATAAAAAACTAAATAATGGTTGCCAGAAGCATAAGGTACCAGTTTAACCATATATAAAGGTTAGCCTACATTTCATAATAATTAAAAGGCAAATTTTATAAAAAGATGAATATTAATATAGTTGGAAAATGATTTCATATCCTTTCTATGTCATGACTTCTTATAAGAAATAGATGATCACTCAAAGAATGCTGAGGTAAGAAAGCTTAATTCAGAAAAGTAGAATAGGTAATCAATGAGCCAATATTGTTTAGCCTTAAAGGTGTGATAGTAAGTGGTGCTTGGAGACTACTTGCTGGGACATTTCTTGCTGTATAGACTACTGCTGCTGTACTAGTATTTGCAAAGACAGTCTCTGTAGACCTCTACCCAGATATCTTTGTCTTTCCCATTTCACTGTGCCTGTGATCATAAATGCACTTTTGAACAGGGGCATAGTTCTTTAACTGTAAGATTGGTAAAGCAAATTAAAACCCCTGTATACCAAGTATTTCAAACAGTATTAATATTTTTGAGCCTTTTGTATCTAGCAATTACCTAGTTTATTCCTTGGAAAATTTAAGAGGTATAAACTTTATTTATTGAACCTAGGAATTATTTACAGTTGCAATAATTTTGAAACATTCTAAAAGTTTTTTATCCAACAAAATTTTCTATAATTACAGAATGTGAGTATAATCAAAAGACAAATGATAGGCAATTGGTGAGAATTTAAAACATTACTATTATACTTATGAAACTATGCTTTAAACTTAACTATTTTTAATAGTTTTTTAGAACTTTATACATGAGCACTGCCTCCTCATCACTCCTGCCCCCCTTTCTTCCCCAGCTTCCCCCATGTCATCCTCCCCTCCCACATTCATGATGTGTCCTTTAGTAATAATTGTTACATGTATGTACATATGTATATATTAAATGTGTGTGTCCTTTAGCTTTGCTTTTATGTACTTGTGACTAGGGCTGACCCTTGGGGTTGGACAACCCATGTGGGAGCTCATCTCTGGAGGAAACTGATTCTTCCTCTCATTGTAGCCACTGACTGCCTGTAGCTCTTCATCTAGGAGTGGGACTATTTGTAATTCCCTGTCTGCATTGGCCTGCCAGCTGTGTTGTCATTGTGATGGTCTTGAAAGTTCTTGGGCATGCTTTCTTTGTCATGTCTAGGGGACATTACCTAACAGCAGGTGCCCTAGCCCTCTGACTTTTATAATCTTTTTACTTCCTTTTCCGTGATTTTCTCTTAGCCTTAGGTGTAGGTGTTATGTTGTAGATGTTTCATTTGGGGTTGGGCACCCCACAGTCACTTACTCTCTGCATTTTGACTGGTTGTGGATCTCTGAAATAGTCTCTGTCTATTGCAAACTGAATCTTTTCATGAGGAGGGAAAGCTACACTTTTCTGTGGATACAAGGATAAGTAGAAAACAGAAATGTCATTGGTCTAGGAACCTGACAGTCAAAGGTTCTCTCAGGTCTGTGACCTCTCCAGCCATAGGTAATTGGCTAGGTTTACAGTACCAGACATGAATTCCCTCCTGTTGGGCAAACTTTAAGTCCAATTAGACAGCTGTCTTGTTGTTCCAAAGTTAAAGTACCACTATTGTACCATTGTGCCTATCTTGTGGGTATAGCCATTGTTGTGGTTCATTGGCATTATAGGTGGGTAGGACTACCACTGTTTCTCTTCCTGGGAAGTTTGAATAACACCAATCAATACTATGAGAGCCACTCCCCAGAGAGGACGTTTCCCTGTCAGTTCCTGCTTAATTCCTGTTAAGTCCTTTGTCTGAAGAGTGTGGTGTCTTCAGTAATAGAGACTTGCCTTCAAATTCTGGTAGAAAACAGAAATTGCATTGGTTTAGGAACCTGATGGTAGAAGGTTCTCCTTTCAGAGAAGTAGCTGTGCTCACTATTGAAAATACCAACATGCTTTTTCTTTAATAAGTGATAAAGAAAAAAACTTGACAAACACTTGAAAAGTATTGAAGATGAACTCTTACTGTATCTATGAAACTGATTTCAAAAATGTATTTTAAAAATACAACCAAAGTTAAGAGCTTGAACTATAACAGCCTTAGATGGATATCCAGGCCAATAGATTCCTCAATATGATGCTAAGACTAGATGAACATAGGAAAATAAGTTAGACTTAAATAGAATTAAAAATTTTTGTGCATCCAGGGACACTATCATAAGTTAGAGATTACCTACCAGACAAGAATTATATATATGGTAAGGGTATGTTTCCACAATATATTAACTTCTACAACTCAACAAGAAGGCAACATAAATAAAAAATAGACCAACTGATTTGAATAGTTATTTTTCTCAGGAAGATATGTAGATGGAATATAAGTAAATGAAAACTGATGTCCTTATGGAAATGCAAATGAAAACCACTGCAACTACCATTCACAGCTACCATAGTGGCTGTAATCAAAAGTGAGCCTTGGTAAATGTGAAGAAATTAGAGCACTTGTCATTTCTGGTGGGAACTAGAAACCTTGCAGCCAGGATAAAACCCTGGAAGTTTCCAAAAAGGCAAAAAAAATTCCCTAATGAATAACCACCAAATGCATGAAAAACAGACTCCGATGCTTATATCCCAGTGTCCCAGATGCCAGGAGCTGGAAATGAGCTGCCTTAGATGTGCTTTATCTTGTAGAGGTTCAGTTGCTAGAGCCTCTGGCCTGAGGGTGACAGCAGTAATATAGTGGAACATTTAGGTTGTGAAAAGGTTCCAGGAATGGGTAGTGGTCATGTTTACCTCTCTCTGTGAACATAATTACTATTATTGACTAGAACACTTTACAGTGGTACACAGGCACAAGGTAATTGGGTCATTGGAGCCCTGTCCCCAGAGGAGCTGGTGCTGGTCTTGTGGAGGAGGTAGCTTTTCTGAAGATGGGTTGTTTCAGAGTACTCCCACCCTGTCTACCACTTCCTCTTCTGATTCCTTGCTATGTTGTGATATAGTCAGATTGCCTCCACCAAAGTTGAGTAGATGCTGACACCATGATCTTGAATCTTCAAAAT